AAAATCATCGTGGCATGCCAAGCAGGATGTCACTTACACTCGATTGGCCACATCGTCAAGGTTCATTTCCATTAAGCTTTGTGTCAGTTCAGAAACTTTACACATGAGGCTGTGTGTAGCAGTCTACCACTGCTGACTGCCCTGGGGCTAGCCCAGAGTCCCAATCTTGTCATTGGTTTTCCAGAATGTCTCCGTGAGAATTAGTTGCATATGCTGGCCAGCCTCACCATTTGAGACAGGACTGTGGTTTGGTTGTATTTTTATAAATCACTCTGTTACTAAACACTTGCCATCTCTGACATATTTAGATAAGGCAAAGATAAGACCAGGAGGAGAGTGAAAATAGTCATAGATGATAGATAGGTAGCTAGATAGATGGATACAGATGAAATGGATGGATGACTTCTGACATTAATAATAGAAAGCAAATGTGAGAAAGGTATTGCTTTCTATTTCTGTCCAGTGCTTCTTAAATGTGTCATGAAATGTGCATAACAGAGATATTCAGACTATGTTTACTATTGACCATATTAAACTACCTGCATCAGCTTAAAACAAAAGATCATTAGCCCAGATTAACACTACACAAGAGATAAGGTGTATAGGAGTGTGGAGGTAGGATGAGGAAAGTAAGTTATGTTCTTTTTTCTCTGATTGGTGTAAAGTATTTGTGTACCTCAAACAACTTAACTCTTTAAAGACCAATCTTACACATGGTTGCCATTTACATAATGTTATATGAGAGTGTTAAGAAGTTCTCCTTACAAAAATTATCTCACTCATACTTGTTTGCACAGTGACTAAATTTATACTATTTATTATTGATCCATTTTCATAAATACTGCCAAGAAGTTTCATATTAGAGATCATAAATCTCTAGAAGGCCAATGCATTAATTCAATACAAATCGATACCATCATGTTTTGAATTTGTGACAGTTAAGTGGAAAAATGATGACATAACACAGACAAGTTTTGTAGAAATGAAGAGAGAATAAGGTGGCTACGCATACATTTGCACATCTTAAGTAATTTTCAGTCTGGTTTTTTATGTAGGCTGCATTAGTAGAGTTAACTTTACAATTTTGTCCATAGTTTGCTCAATGTCAAGACAGATTTAGGACAGTGAACAAAAAATAACAAATCTAAATGCAATTACTATTGAGATTTGTGGACGCCTCATTTGGGGAAGAGGGTAAGAATATTTATTTGTGTGTGTAAAAGATTAGGGATCTATTTGTATTACAATATGCTGGAGCGATTTACTGCGTGTTGCTATATGTTAGATGAAAAACCAAAGTAGTGGTCAGGCACAGTGGCTCACGCTTGTAATCCCAGCACTTTGGGAGGCTGAGGGTGGGGGGAATCACCTAAGGTTGGGAGTTCGAGACCACCCCGACCAACATGGAGAAACCCCATCTCTACTAAAAATACAAAATTAGCATGTGGTGGCACATACCTGTAGTCCCAGCTACTCAGGAGGCTGAGGCAGGAGAATCACTTGAACCCAGGAGGTAGAGCTTGCATTGAGCCGGAGCTGGTACCACTGCACTCCCGCCTGGGCAAAAAAAAAAAAAAAAAAAAAAGGAAAAGAAAACCCAAGGTAGTATAATGAACTGGAAGATGGTTCTCTTGAAGCGTGCTCAGGAGATACTTTCTTTATTATAGAAAAGCCAATAGAGATGAGGTCAGTGTTACATTCCCTATTATGAAAGCTCAAGGTGGGCAGATATACGTTTCCCCATATCCTAGACAACAAATATAAGGATCTGAGTAGATTTAGCCAATGGAATGTTTCTACCCAGCCTTTAGAATCTTAGAATAGTAACAAAAAGTCATTGAGTTTGTCAGATATTATTTATGGAGACTTCAGCTGAGTCAGTAGGTCAGTGGAGTGGCAATAGGTACAAGGTGGCATAATCTTGGTTTTGCTTTCCTTTCCTTTAGTCTCTGCCAGTTGTCTGTGACATGTTTTGCAAGTGCTCTATGATTTCTGAGAGCTATTTAATGTTGACTCAAAATATTACATGTCTGCTTCAGTTAGTCAGTCATGAATGCCTCTTATTTGGAACTAGATGCTTGATAGATCCATGTTTTATTTCTTCTTTTTTTCCGCCTTAGTTATGCTTAACTTTTATTTCACAAGAATTTAATACATAGCGCTTACTTTCCAGGAATGTTTAACAGGAGAATATTAGTTGTTTTCCTGTGTGTTTTTCATTATCCATATTTGTTTCATTGCTTATTCAAAGGAAGAAATGGGTTTTCCCTGTAACTCCTGTAAGATGATCTATCTTGTTTTACAAAAGTTAAAAGAGTCTTTTATGCAGCCATTTTTGTGATTGTCTACTGGTACAATTTTACTGGTGCCCCAGCCTGCCTTCAGTGTCAATATCTTGCATCTATTTATTTGAATCAAGTTATCATGTTTTTAAAAGAACGTCCATAAAATGTAAATCTTTACAAGAAGAGCTACATGTAAATGAGTACTAAAAATTGATATTATCCTGATTCAGTTCATTAGAAGAAATACCCCCCAAAAGTATAGAAAGACTTAAGAAATAAAAATATTCAACAATTCAGTAGCACTTTTCATGAGTCAGATGCATTTCCATAAAAGAAAAAGGGATACATTTACCTGTCTTGCTAAATGGTGAGGAATGTCACCAAAGGGATTGCTGAAGAGTGAAAGCAACTCATGTTGAACTTAGATAGAATAAAGGGAGCTATGAGGCACTGGGTACGTCTTGTAAAGAATGCCTCAGTTTGGCCGGGTGCAGTGGCTCACGCCTGTAATCCCAGCATTTTGGGAAGCCAACGCGGGCGGATCACGAGGTCAGGAGATCGAGACCATCCTGGCCAACATGGTGAAACCCTACTACTAAAATACTAAAATTAGCTGGGTGTGGTGGCATGCACCTGTAGTCCCAGGTACTCAGGAGGCTGAGGCAGGAGAATTGCTTGAACCCAGGAGGCGGAGGTTGCAGTGAGACGAGATCATGCCACTGCACTCCAGCCTGGGTGACAAAGCGAGACCCCATCTCAAGGAAAAAAAAGAAAAAGAAGAAAAAAAAAAAAGAATGCCTCAGTTCTAGGTTTGATAAAATATGGTTTATATCTATAGATTTCTATATACAGATCAATTGGTTGAGGGAATCTTTTATAAGAATACATAATTGGACATGCAAGAGTTCCTTTTGGCTACCTTCTTAAGCTGTGAAGCCTAGCAGTTGACCTCACTTTCATAATTTTGAAGGCATGGCTAGGAATGATTATGACATTCTTACGGTCTTATGTATCAATAGACCTACCTGGTAAAACATTTGCATTATTTCTATGACAAAATGCTCCATCTTCATTTTTTTCCCGAAATAGTAGGTAGTATCTATCTATCTATCTATCTATCTATCTATCTATCTATCTATCTATCGATCTATCTATCTATCTATTTTGAGACAGAAATTCACTCTTGTTGCCTAGACTGGAGTACAATGATGTGATCTTGGCTCACCACAACCTCCGCCTCCTGGATTCAAGCAATTCTCTTATCTCAGCCTTCCGAGCAACTGGGATTACAGGCGCCCGCCACCACACCCAGCTAATTTTTGTATTTTTGGTAGAGACGGAGTTTCACCATGTTGGCCAGGCTGGTCTCCAACTCCTGACCTCAGGTGATCCACCCACCTTGGCTTCCCAAAGTGCTGAGATTACAGGCGTGAGCCACTGCACCCAGTTGTATCTACAATTTTAAAAATTCATTTCTTTGAACAATGAATGCTAGACATTGAGGATGATGCAAAGGATATATTTGCTGTCAACGTTGCAAGGTGTAGGATTCCATCTAGAAAATTACTAGTGCTTAGTGTGGGTCCTGTGTGCATTAAGTTCCTGAAAGTTCACCAAAAAAAAAATGTGATATAATTAGATGAGGTTCCTCTAACATAATTGTATGAGATTATTTGACATAATCTTTCTGTTTTCTACATTTGTCCCAGGAACCCAAGGGGCTACAACTATTCTTAGTAAGAAGGATAGTTTCTACCAGAGGTTATAAAAGTAATGAAAATTTCAAGCTACAATGTACTTTTTTTCAATTAAATTGATTGATTTCTCTGACCAAAACAGTATTTACATTATAATTTGAAGTGTGATAATTTGAATATTGCTTTAAAAATATTATAAAATAGAAGGTATTAGTATTGTTTTTCTTGTTTTCAATGAAAACGAGTGTCTAGTATTTGTTTCCCTGGGGGAGAAAAACCTTTGCGATTGTGTATAACTGAAAAAGCAAAACTAAAGGAAACAAACAAGATGTTAATTCACCTCCAGCATATGTAGACATTAACAAAGCTATTTTTGTTATAGTATTTAAAGATCTAATAGTTTGATTAAAAAAATAGTCTTTGTATTTCAATTACACTAACACTTTGTGAAACAATTTTCTCTGCCAAATTCTTGGCAAATAGCATCATATTGTCTAGCTGAAATGGGGTCCACATGGTGTTCTAGTTCTATGAGCATATTGCTAGTGCTGCACATTTGTGCTTCTGTGAATATGGCACTGAAAACAGTGCCTCTTTATTAGTGGATAACTTACTTTTATCTCACCCATTTTCTATTGTCACCTTCCCAGACTATTTCTGTTGTCCTAAAATCTTTTAAACTATTTCTCATTTCCTGGTATATTACCTTCAAAGTGCATATCACAGTCTCTAAATGATGACTATATTTTTATTGTTGCTTATTTTCATCACACTCTCCAAAATGTAAACTTACTAAAAGAAGAGTTTTCTCTGTTTGTTCAGTGCTATATTATCAGTATTTAGCACACAGCGAGTGCTAAATAATTATTTGTTGTAAAAACTGATACTGTCATCCACTATCACGGAACTACTTCCTCTGTGGATTCAAATTTAACCAGTTCCTAGATCAATCTGACATAAACTGCTAATGCTTTTTTTCCAGTACTGACTAGTGTGGAATTAGCTGTCGTGATATAAATTAGATATTCCAGGAGCGTGTGGGCAGTGAGTTTCTGTGAGCCACAGTCTCCCCATCTTTCTGTGCTCCTACCATTTCTGCCCTATGGTCTGTATGCTTTCTTTCTTGTAGCATCTCCATTCCCTGCTGGAATTGAAGCCCCTCGCTGAAACACAGCTCATTTTCTGGGGTCCTGAATATATGGTTAACTTTTGGTATCTCCTTCTCTTGGGAGTCTGACTCTTGTTCCCATTCAGAAAAAGAATTATAAAAATGAAATGGCTTTTGTAATAACAGTTAGGGATTTTACATATTCATATAAAAATACTCTTGGGTGGTAATAAGAACACAATGCCAAAACAGATTATCAAGAAAAAAAAGAAAGAAAGAAAAACTATCTTTGGTGACTATTAACTATCAAATTTAATAACTATTTTGAACAGTTTCAGGCACACACAATACTTTCCAGTTTGTTAGGTGTGAAACTGTCACAGGATCCTTGGAGTGTCACTTTTCTGGCCAGAAACTCTGTGGCTGATGGCACCTTTGCCTGAGTTTTGCTGAGGCCCACTGGGCTCATTCCGCACAGTTGGCCTGGCAGGCTGCGCTTGGCTCATGCTACCGGTCTGGATGCCACACCTGCCAAGGGCAAGCCAGGCGTGGAGCAGTGAGGGGTGTGTGAGTGAGTGAGCCTGGGGTCCCGCCACTGCACATAACCAGACACGCTGTGGCAGGGCAGGTAGCTCCAGGTAATCGCACAGGCGCTCGTTCTCTGTGAGGCTGTGGCTGGACCAGGCGTACCACAAGCAGCTTCCAGGCACCAGGGAATGTGGTGGTGGTGCCTGGAAGCTTGGAGACACCAGCAATCACAGAGCTCCAAAGAGGGTGTCACAGTCATGACTCGGAGAGCTCCTAGGTCTGGGCTCCCCGAAGGGCTGCAGCTCTTCTCTCCTCGCTTTTCATCACCTGCAATGTGGCGAGCAAGGGGCGTGTTTCAGCCCTGTTTGCGTTACAGTTCTTTCAGCTCCATCATTCAGCAGACCCCCAGTTCTTGTCCAGCATCCAGGAAGATTGAGGTAGGTGGACAAGTGAAGGGTGAGCAAGGCGAAGAGGGTTTTATTGAGCGACAGAACAGCTCAGAGGAGACTCACAGTGGGTAGCTCCTCACTGCAGGCAGGTCTTCCCATCGTCTGCTCAGCTTTCAGCAGAGAGGAAACCCACAGTGAGTACCTCCTCTCTGCAGGCAAGTCTTCCCGTCGTCTGCTGGAGTTGGCCTGAGTCTGGGGATTTTTACAGGTTTCAGAGGGGAGAAGTGTGTGCTGATTGGTCCATGGGCGGCCACTGGCAGACCCGCAAAAATCACCCTAAGTTCTCACTCCCGTGGACGGAACTGGCAGCCAGGCCCCCAGGTCTCAGGCCCTCTGTGGCCTGAAGGTGAGATTTCATTGGCGACCCATCCCTTTCCACCCAAGAGCCTGTCTACCTCCTACTGCCATTAACCTGCTGTCCATGGTCCCCACAGCACCCAGGCTGTTCGTTCTAAGGGGTGCCTGTAGGCCTGCGCTGACTGGCCTTTACCCGCTCTTGGTCTCCCTCTCGTGTTGGTCGGTGCCCAAAGTCCAGAGGGAGCCGAGGCAGCAGGGCCCTGGTGTGTCAATGCTGCCCCAAGCATGTACATACCTGGGTCATGAGAGTGCCCCGGATCGTCCACAACTTTGCTCCAAAATCAGAGCAGTCACCCGGAGTGGGGAGAGGCCAGGAAGTGGGAACAGGCACTTGTGAGCCTGCAGGGACAGGGGCATTTCCCAGGCCTTCAAGAGTGCGTTGATGCCTCAGTCCACAGTCACAGCTGGGCAGCTGCAGTTGCACCCGGAAGGGCGGGATTCCCACATCTCTAACTGGGAAGGGAACAAGACTTCTACCTGTCCCTATATCCCACCCGCTTCCTGGGGCACACATCCCCGGCCAGGTCTCCCCCACTGCAGCCTGGGTCATGGCAGCAGCCACTCCAGACAGGCTGCCACTGCCATCAAACCCAAGTCATAATGTGAGCCTATCCATGAGCCTGTGTACCTTGAAACATTTAAGTGATCTTGTCTTACTGCCTCTAGAATAATATGCAAAAATGCTGATTAGGCTAATATTTTGAACACTTAATGTGCTGGGCTTACAAAAGCAAAAAGTGTTTTTATTTTTTAAAAGTATAGACACTTTTCTAATATTGATAATGTTATGGCTTTAATGTATTCTTTAAAGTTCATCTGTTGGAAATTTAATCCTCAATGCAACAGTACTGAGAAGTTAGAACTTTAAGAGGTGACTCAGTCATGAGGGCTCTGCTCTTCTTAATGGATTAATACCATTATCACTGGAGTGGGTTAATTACCGCAGGGGTTCAGCCCCCTGTTTGTCTCCGTCTCACATGCTTTCTTCTGCCTTATGCCCTTCTTCCATGGGGTGATACTCACCATATACTAACACAATGCTCTTGAAATTTCCAGCCTTCAGTACCATGAGCCAAATGAATTTTGTTCTTTATGAATACCCAGTCTGTAGTACTCTGCTATAGCAACAGAAAATGTATTAAAACAGGCCAGAAGATCTCCCCTTCACTCATATACTTTCCAATGAAAAGTCTTACCAGATACGACTTTCTTTATAAGAAGATGCTTGTTTCTTGGTAACACAGTACAGATGGCTTCTTTGTCCATCATCCTACTTCTTACATCACAAGGCTTATTATTAGGTACACTCAGAAGCTCTGCTCTTAGCTATACAATTAATACTTAGATTATTTTTATCCAAGCATTAATGACAATACCCTGAAATCACATCATTCCCATTTGCCTCTTTGTCTTGGTTGGGCAGTAGGAGAAAGTGTCCAGGAAAGGCAAAGAGGTGGTTTACTTTTAGCCACTCCCTACTTCCACAATGAAGACAGATCTTAAAATTCTTCATTCTTTTTCCATTGATTTTCAGAAATCCTCTGAACAGAGCCATCAAGGTAACTGTTCTTAATCAATTAAAACTCTAACATGGAGGTTTTAAAATACTAATTTGTCCACGAAATATTCTATATAGTGACTCTCCCTGGATTCTTTGCCATCTGGACATTCTTATCGAGAAATGAGACCAACAGGAAAGAAAAGCATCAGTTAATATAGTTTTTGTGCTTCACTCTACTTATATTATATTAACATAATAAACCAGACCATAAAAAAGAGGATTGATTAAAGTTCTATATGTTCTTTAAATACTCAGTCTAATTGCTGTATAAATTCCTCTTGTGATATTTTCATTATGAAACAATGGTTGAGATCAGTAAAGTATAGCTTGTGTATCATTTATTTTCCAGCAAAAGTGGGTATAAATACATTAAGGACTTGAAGGTGGCATTAAATCCACTTCAACAAGGATTATGAAGATTGACACATACCTTTTAAAACTGATTCTTCCATACAGATTGAAGCCAAGTTGCAAGACCCGATTTACCAGGGTTGAATGAACATAGAGCAAAATAATACCAGTGAATATTCATTTAGAAACAGCATCAAACTGAAAATGTAAAGTAAATGTTACTGTTGTATTCACCTAATATACATGTACTAACTCCCTATTATGTGATAGATATCATACTAAATGCTAACAATAATAACATGTGAGTAAAGCATAGCATATTATCTTAAAATGCAAGTAAGACAATATTAACAGAAATCCATACTTATGTACATAAATATAGACATACATAGACACAATAAAGGACCAAAATTATAGAAATAAAGAGACTTAAGAGAGTCCTGTCTTTCTCATGACACAAGATCTTAGGAGTGACCTGGTTCAGGTTCACATGTCTCACATTTGGCAGAGCAAGGCAATTTCTCAAACTGACAACTTTTTGTTCCTAAATTTCTACATCAGAATTTCCCTAATTTATCTTCACAAATTGTTTGAAGGCTCACTATTTTCTTGGCACAGCATTAAATGCTTTCAAATATCTACAACTTTATATATTTATATATATATATAACAACTGTATATATAAAATATAACTTTATATATAAATATGTATTTATATATACACTATATATGGTATTATTTATTATAATACTAGATAACAATTTATATATTATATATAACTCATTTCTAACTTACATATTGAAACATGTAATATTTATTTGTTCAACTATACTAAACAATTTTCCAAATGCTTAATTATGTCAGATTCTGTGCTTTGTAACAGGAATACAAAGGTGAATAGAAATTCCTCTCTGCCACAAAAGAGCAAAGATATATAGAAGAGAGAGATACATAAAAATATAGCTGAAATATTATTTGATGAGTCCCACAGCACCAATATATACAAGATATGAAGATGGCAACTCAGTTGGCCTTGAGGCCCATTGACATATCCAGCAAGAGAACAATTCCTGATGCCTTTTATAAAATAATCCAAATTCAGTGTAGTGTAGATGAATGTATATCTAGAATGACTTCAGTGACTCAATGGCGGCAACATTAACCATTAGAACACAGGAGGAAGAGGTACTTGATATTGGTAAAATAGGACTGGTTTAAGAAAACTGTTGGTTAATTTGTGGATATGTTGTGTTAAGATGCTTGTGAAATGTGAAATTGATTATGTGTAGCAGACATATGAATTAATAGCACTGATTTTAAAGCATGTCCGAGCTTGAGCTAGCATTTAGGGAATCAAAATAATATGCCCATAGAAATATATCCAGAAAGAAACTAAATTAAATTCAAGTTCAAGATATCTGGTTTGGAAGTTCAGGATCTTTTCAAAGAAAAGGTATTTATCATTACCTGCTATTCCATTCTAAGTAAGAATGTGATATAACCAGAAATTATATTTTAAGTAGGTATATATATATAGGTGTGTGTGGGGTGTGTGTGTGTGTATTGTACATAATATATATATAACTAGAGTTTTTCTCCAGAAGAATTTTTTGCTCAATACTATAAAATACTGCATTGCTTGAAGGCTTACACAAGGGTGCTTAGAGGGAAGTTTTGTTTCATTTGAGAGAGGAATATATGGAGACATAAAGAAACCATATAAGAGAGTTTCTGAATCTCCAGGTTGAGCCTCCACATTCACTTAACAAAAATCTCATTTTTCAAATTTTCTCACTGCCAAACTTTCAACAAGATTATTGTTGAACACGTCTGGTAACGAGAGAAACATTTCTTCCTGAAAAAGTCCACCTCATGTTTGAAGAGCTTTTATTAGTATCTATGTGTTCATTCTTTCATTTATTCTTTTATTTATTCACCATGCTTTTATTGAGTATCTGCCATACAAGGTTCTGTACTAGGTGCTAGAAATAAAGCAGTTCATAAACCAGATAGAGTTCCTGCCTTTATGAATTATTGCCACAGGCTTTAAATAAATAAATAAACAGACATAACTGAGTTACTTATTGCTGCATAATAACTTATTCCCAAATTTAGTGGCTTAAAAATAAATATCTATTATCTCATTTTTATTTTATTAGTTTCATTTTTGTTCTAAAATAAATATTTTTATATTTATTATAAATATATATATAATATATATATATATATTTGGGTCCTTGCATAAATACAATGAAGCCAAGAGTATGTTGGCATATTTCCACTCCCTATAAATGCTTTTTAAAATAATCTGCTTTCTCAGAAAAAACAGAGCAGTACTCATATGTGGAGAATGAACTGTATTACTATACAAATTTGTCACTAGAAAATGAAGAAACAGAAAAATATCTACTGGAATGAAACACATTCTCAATAGCACACAAGAGACTGTTTTGTGAAACAAAATTGGGGTAATATACACAGGGAATAGGCTAAGTATTAGGAAATTAGATTTTTTTCTTAAATGATCCACTTAAAATTGACATTGATGTGGTTATTTGATTGCTCTGATATTAGTTTTATTGCTAGATGCATAGTTGAATAGAGAATATAACTTAACTTTTTTGTTGCAAATTGAGATACATCGTTCATATTCTTCAAGGAAGGACATGTTGCCTCAGCTACTAAGGCATATACCCTCCAACTGTCAACTCTTTCCAATTTCCTAAGCTGCAAGGTGATACCTTGTCAAGAAAGAACCCTTACGGAATGGCATGGGGGCAGATGTGTGAAGTGTGATACAAAGCCTAGCCATTTCAGCCAACCGAAAGCCAAATCAATCAGATTTTCATGGGGAATATTCCAGATCTTCCCGTGGCATTGGTCCATGCTTTCTTGGGATTTCATGGCAATTTGTCTTTTTCTTTTGCTCAATCATGTATCCTACCATATTCCTCCAACCCCCAATGTTATCATTCAATAATTATCCTGCAGAAAATCTCAATCTCAACATATGCTTCCAGAGAACCACACTGTGATACTTCATATCAAGGATATTCAAAGAAAGAAAGTGTTATGGTGTGGTTTTGGAGCTCACTTACTACCCATCTGTCAATGAAGATACAATTATTGGTAGTAGGTAGAACACAGAAAAATCCTTGGCTCAAGGTGATGATACAATTATTAAAACTCTCCCTGGTGGTGAATTGAGATAAGATACCAGTGGAGGGAAATGCTCTAGCTGCTGCGAAGTATCAGATGCTTAAATAGTATGAGAAAGGGAACACAACTGCTAAGCACCACTGCTAACCTAGAAAAAGAGTGAAAAGCTGTGGGTGATTAACTGGTAATTAAAAATTAAATACTGAAATTCAATAGGTCTCTTTGATAGCCTAACAAAAGGCTTTCATATTCCGGATCAGAAGATTAGAGAAAATCGAGAATGAGGACCAGTACTTAATAGAATGCTTTAACTCCAGAGAAGGTTATGTCCAACCAAGGCAGTTCTGTGATGCAAAAGTGCTGGCTCTTGCCTGGTTGAAAGATAAATGGTACCTTGGCACTTTGGATAGACACATCTGGGTATACGCCTCTGAAAATTTTCTATATTCAGAATACTTTCAACTCTTAACTTGCAGAAATTGCCCATCCCTCTATGTTAATAATTACTACCCTCCCCCCCACTGCCACTTGCTTAGAAAAAATGCAGAGGACTTTTGCCCACAATATAGCATGTTATTCTCCTCTAGGATCTGCCCCACCTTCCTCCTCCCATTCTACTCCCTAGGCCTATAACACGAACTAGCCAAAACATTCTGGTGCCAATAACTGAGGAAAGGGACTCCACCTCAAAGAGTATCAAGGCCTAGTTAGTATGGACCAACAAGGGCCAGAGGAATAAGGTAGAACTAGATTTCAGGAATGCTTTATTCCAAAGTCTAGTACATAAAATTGAATAGTTATGAGTGGCAGGGTATTGGAAGCATATTCCCATTATAAAAAAAAATACAGCACCGTAGTGAGAACTCCAAGAACTGTTGCTAATTCACAACATTGGCTCCTACAAACACAGTAAAAGCAATGGCTATTTGAAGTTGAAATGTTAGGATATCATAAACTTTACCCACTAGTGGCCTCAACTGCAGCCTCTGTGCTAGATGTGGTTTTATGTAGAGTAGATTAATATGGCCCCAGGTTCCTGTATGCTATAAGGCTATGGATTTAGTAAAGGAGGGCTTTCTTACTTTATCAAGAAGGGAAAATTAGAAACTGTTTGCATTCACGTGGAAGGGGCAATAATGTTCATTTTACTATGTGTCCCAAGAGCTAGGTTAACTACAGTGCAGTTATAATACAATCTAAAGAAATTTGGTCTATCTTCATAATATAAACAGCATATTGATCCATCACTTTGTTTACATGCTCATTAAGCTAGGTGAAAAAGTAGCTGTTACTATTTAAAGAGACACATGTGATTCAAAAACTGGAGATAAAACCCATGAAGATTCAGGGCCTAGCCAAATTTTTACAAAGTTTTTAGGGGTACAACTAAAACCACACCATAACACTTTCTTTCTTTGAATAACCTTGATATGATATTTTTGGAAGAGGGTTGAAACAGCCCTTCCAAAACAAAAACAAAGTATTTAATGTTTTACTTTCCACTGTGGTTAAGGAAGCACAATGCATGATAGAGCCAGTTTTGAGTGAGACCCACAGCAATAATGGGTATTATACCAGGTTCAAGCTTTAAGGCTAGAGGTACTGCCACTTGGGTCATGTGACTGAGCATATCCTTATAATATTAAGAAGTATTGGCAGGGCATGGTGGCTCACGCCTCTAATCCTAGCACTTTGGGAGGCTGAGGCGGGTGGATCGTAAGGTCAGGAGTTCGAGACCAGTCTGGTCAACAAAGTGAAACCCTGTCTCTACTAAAAATACAAAAAGTTAGCCAGGTGTGGTGGTGTATGCCTATAATCCCAGCTACTTGGGGAGGCTGAGGCAGGGAGAATCGCTTGAACCCGGGAGGTGGAGGTTGCAGCGATTGTGCCATTGCACTCCAGCCCAGACGACAGTGCAAGACTCCATTAAAAAAAAAAAATGCAGAATACAACATGCTATTGGACCCTGGTAGAGACAGACTATCTGACCACGGGAGACCACTTAAACACTCATCTGAAATATCCCATCTTGAGTTGAGTTCCCTCAGCCTTTCCAAGTAATAAAACTAGGCCCTTTGGCCTCTATCTGAAATTGGATGATATGGTACACCCTATCAATCCTTAGCATATGCTAGGATGTACATTTTGTTCCCTCAAAATTCATATGTTAAGGTCCTAACCCCAATACCTTATAATGTGACTAGATTTAGATACAGGATCTTTAAAGAGGTAATTAGGGTAAAATGTGGTCTTATGAATTGTCCCTAAACCAATATGACTGGTGTCCTGCCAAGAGGAGACAGTGACACAGAAACACAGAGAGGCAAGACCAGGTGATGGTATCTAGAAGAAGGCATTCATCTCTAAGCCAAGCCAAGGAGAGAGAACCTCAGAAGAAATCAATTCTGCTGACAACTGGATCTTGGACTAGGACTGCAAGAAAATAAACTTCTGT